AGTGCACAAAAATTAAAGAATCAAAATCAGTGTAGTTTTTAATAGTTAATGCATATTTTTTATGTTTTTCATGTTTTTGAATGTTTTTTCTCTTTTTTTTTTTTGTTGTTATTGCATACGGGTTAAGCACATAAAATAATTTCATGAATGCAAATAACATTCAATTAAGTGTCCAAAAACACAGCATTTGCAAACACAAACACAGTTTGCAGTAAAGTTTTTTTGTTTCTAATACAAGCACTTTTTGCAAGGTGATTTTTATTGTAAAATAAAGGTATGTAATAGTAACCCATCGGTCCTACTGCACCCAACCCTGTGCTGGGATTGAACTGGCGATTCTATGTATGGGAGTCGGTTGCTCTAACAAGGAGGCTAAAGACCATGGCCTCAAGCATCTGTCGCTAGAGTACCTATTGAGGTCAGAGGAGTGAGGTTTCCCTGCATAGCACTTCATTAGCTGGCCTCTGTTCATGGCACGTGCTGATAAATCGCGATATTTGCTTTAGCGGTGATTCCGACTGAGCCGGACAACAGTTTGATGAACTGTTGTCCGTTGTCGGCAGGAGGATTTTCCCCCAGAACACCAACAACAGACACGACCCCATAATTATGCCCCTACTAGAGAAAGCTCCTGATTGGTTAACGCAGCACGAATGTCTGCTGAAGTTCAAATTTCCCAATTCGAGCTAAATCCGCACTAAGAGCGTCAATCGCAAAAAACTCTCTACTCGCGCAAATCGCACCATTCCGTCTTTGCATTGACTTAACATGTAAATCACTCGTGCTTGATGCTTTATTCGCGTCTGGTGTGAACGCAGCATTACACTCATCCCCTAAACCTCACTTCCATCCCAGACGAGCCCCCACGTGTAACCCACCAGGATGAGCTGGGAGCAAACTGGCGATTCTATAAATGGGAGTTGGTTGCTCTAAGAAGAGGACTAAAGACCATGGCCTCGAGCCATTGTCGTCAGAGCACCTTTTGAGGTCAGAGGAGTGCATAGCACTTCACTAGCAGCTAGTGAACTAGTATGTAGATGTAGTATATAAAATCTTAAAGCTTATACTGTATATATTTGTTTTTTTTTCTCTACAAGGTTGCATATCGGTGTTTTATAAATGCTATTTATTTCTTCATGGATAAAACTGACTTAAATACTTAGTGCACCTTTAACCTGCTAATATGTATTTCATGTAACAGACCTGGCTTTTGTAGGAACTGTGCTACTTCTAGTGTATATTTAATGTAAAAAGAGACTGGGCTGAATCATAAAGCTGAACACAGGAATCATTAAGGCAGATCATAGGAAAGGGAAGCAACTACATGCATTTGGTTTCAGCAAACTGCACGTCCAGAGTCAATCATTTTAGCAACGCAGCAGATTTTCACCTAAAACAGGGCCTGCAATCTAAATGCGTCAATGAAAAGGCTACGTGCTCAAGCTTTGCTTTTTTAGCATTGTTTTTTGTTAGCCATGCGTGAAAGCTTTTAGACAAGCAGTGTGAGATATCAACAGCAGCTACTGAGACAGGGGAAATTAAAGTCTGAACTAGCTGAGTAATGTTAATAAAGCCTTCCCGACACAAGCATTTAACTGATTAGCCTTGTCATTAGCATAGCCCACATGTCCGAGCAAGAGGAAGATGGCAACAAGGCTGAATACCTGAGTCAGCGGTTTTTGAGTTATGCTTTTGTTTGTATCTGTCTGAAACAGAGGAGACACAAAGCAAAAGAGGAGACAGAAAAAAAAAAAAAAAAGAAGTAAGTTACATTCAGAGAGGCTTCTGCAAACCCAAAGTGGCTCTAGTATCTCCTCGGGTAGACACATGCTCTTGATATTAAAACAGACCACCATGCCAAGATGGGAAACAACAGGCAGGTACCATATGACAACATGAAAGAAGTTTTTTTTGAGGAACACAAAACAAGACAGCCAAATAGCAGTAAAGTCAAAACAGTTCAAATCCCATTATGAATAAAGAGACATTAATCATAAATTAGACAATATTTGTCAAAGCCTATATATTAGATATTTCTGCCAGTTTATATTATTAATCAGAGGGGTCCAAAATTATGAGAGCACAATAGTTTAAGTACTGTTTTTTATATATAATATAAAAAGAATAGTGCTGTTTAATAAATAATCATGACTACTTGAATACAAAACAAAAGTTTCAGAGCATTATAATTAAATAGTAATATAATTATATATATATATATATATATATATATATATATATATATATATATATATATATATATATATGTGTGTGTGTATGTGTGTATGTGTGTGTGCGTGTGTGTGTGTGTGTGTGTGTGTGTGTGTGTGTGTGTGTTGTATTATGTATTATGTTTTTAAATATGTAATATAATGTGTATTTATATAGCACATTTACTGTCTATGGCCATACACCCAAAGTGCTTCACAATAATGGGGGCGGTCTCTCCACACCACCACCAGTGTGAAGCATCCACTATGATGATGCGACAGCAGCCACAGGACAACCGCCAGTGGGCTCATCACACACGAGGCAATTCGGTGGATAGGGGTGATTGAAAGGCCCTGGTCAGTAAGGGCCAATGGTGGGAATTTTGGAAAGGACACCAGAGTTACACCCCTACACTGCAAAAAAAAAAAAAAAAATGCTTTTCTTACTTAGATGTTTTGTCTTCTTTCTAGTCCAAATATCTAAAAAATTCTTAAATCAAGAAACATTTTTTGGGCAAGCAAAACTCATCGTCTTGTTTTCAGAAATAATATTCCAAAATTGAGTTTTTCCTTAAAACAAGCAAAATGATCTTCCAATGGGGTAAGCAAAATAATCCTGTTTTTCCCTTTGACGTAAGATCATTTTGCTAACTCCATTGGCAGATTATGTTGCTTGTTTTAGGGAAAAACTCACTTAATTTTGGCATATATTTTCTGAACACAAGACAATATGATTTGCTTATATAGAAAATTCTTTTTGATTTAAGAATTTTTAGATATTTGGACTTGAAACAAGAGAAAAAATCTAAGTAATATTTTTTGCAGTGTACTCTTTACGAGCAGTGCCATGAGATTTTTAATGACCACAAAGAGTCAGGACCTCAGTTTAACGTCTCATCCAAAAGACGCCACCCACTGACAGTATAGTGTCCCTTTCACTTTACTGGGGCATTATGACCCACACAGCCTGCAAGTTGAGCACCCCTGCTTGCTTTACTAACAGCACATCCAACAGCAACCTAGTTTTCCTATGCAGTCTTCCATCCAGGTACTGACAAGGCTCATCCTGTTTAGCTTCAGTGAGTTACCAGTCTTGGACTGCAGGGTCATATGGCTGTCAAAATAATAAATATATGTACTATTTCTATATAAATGCCCACACAAAAATATACTTTAAGAATATTCACACACACACATATATATCTCTGTGTGTGGTTATTCATTATTAATTGTTAAACAGCACTAATAATAATAATAATAATACCTAAATGTTTTTCACATGTTTTTATTCACCAGAATAAACAGCAAAAGCAAGTCCAAAGCACTCAAAATATGTGGGGAAAAATATGAAAAAGCCTTTAATAACATGGCTATTCCTTAAAACTGCCCCTATGCATTTCGGAAAACACTTTAGACCTTCATCAGGCTAAAGTTCATTGAGTTATATTTGTAAAAAACTGTATTTTTTTGCTGTTTATTAAGATGAATCCCCACAAAGAGCACTGATACATTAACTAGGCTACCCCTGAGCACTTTTTGATTGATGTTGGTTTTTTAATTATGTTTTAAAATTCAAATACTCTTGGTTTAAAGGGATAGTTCACCCAAACATAAACATTTACTCCTTTATACGTCTAAGTATTTTTCTTCCTGCTGAACACAAAAGTTGTTATTTAGTCAAAAGTAAATAATACTTCTGAAGTCATTAGCTTCCATTAATCTTCTTCAAAATATTTTCTTTTGTGTTCAACAGAAAAACAAATGTATAACTTGTTTGTTCAAACTATTCTTTTGAATCAGGTTTTAAATACAAGATGTTCTAAGTCAGGGTTTCCCAACCATGTTCCTAGAGAAGCACCAGCTCTGCACATATTCCATGGCTGTTTCTCAATTCCAAGAATGCAGAGAACGTTCTTGTAAAGACCAGTCTTGCCAGGTCATCTCAGAAGAACGAACTCATGAGACCAAGAGGATAGAGAAATGAGATGCTGCGTTCCTGATGGTCACATGACCTTCACATGTTTTTAACGGAATTATTGAATTTAACATACAGCTTTCATACAACGATTTACTGTTTTTTTTTCTTTTCAATGTATATAACATGCACAAAACCCTTACAAATATACTTTGCACAATACAAATAAAACATATTTAAACACCCTTAATGTGTTTTTGCCTTTATTAAGATTTTTTTAATGTTAATGTTTACTTTCACTGTATCATTTAGAGAAACTCTTGAGATAAATAAGTGTTATCTCTGAACTTTAATAATAAATCTACTGTATATAAAATGCTGCGCTTCCCACCTCCTTTATTCAGTCACAATGACTTGTGGGACTTCTCGAGTGAGTTTTGTGCTCAATTTTGCATCGGTGCATCCTCCATACTCCATACACATCCGGGAATATTCACATATCCTCCGTTCTTGCTGTCTTGAGGTTTGGAACTGAACTTTGGCAGTTGCTGATGTTGTTACACAAGAACACAAGGACGCTGAAGAACGCATATTGAGAAACAGCCCATGTCTCCTTAAACAAACACACCTGATTCAGATCATCATCTCATTAGCAGAGACTAAACGACATGTAATAGGTATGACAGACAAAGGAGACATCCAAAACATACAGTGTTGGTGGTCCTCCAGGAACGTGGTTGAGAAACACTGTTCTAAGTGGCCTTAAATGCATAATACTGATTAATTCAAACATACACAAGTTAAATGTATTTTTCAGGTCACTCTGGCTTTAAGGCACAAGGTTGGCATATTAAAGTGATGACTTGGACACTCACTGTCACACACGTAGGGTTTATCCTGATCGTCGTTGGCCACTGCTTCTGTTCGCCTGCGCCCAGAGCCTCGACCCTGATCACAAATTACAGGACAATCGCTTTTATACATGACATGGAATCAATATTTACATGATCTCTCAACACTTTATCTTCTCTCCGTCTCTTCAAATACCATATCTCGGACGGATCATCATAGGTATTTCTCTTTCATGATTTATTTCTCTCTCAGGTGTCAGTCGGCCTTGTCTCAGTCTAGATCTGTCTCTTTTTCTTGCTCTTGCTTCCCTTTTTTCCATCACAGCATCTGCAGACTTTGATGAGTCATGCTCATCACTCACCCTGCCTTTGTTTCGATGCTTCCTCTTTGGTGTGTCCACTTCAAAATCCTCATCATCATGAAAACCGTCCCCATTTTCGTCTGCTTCCAACACCCGCTGCAGAGAAACGAGTTTGGATAAGCAATTAGATGACAAAGATCAATAGACTGCACAAGAGAAGACAATAGTCCACATTTCCAGAGAGAGAGAGAAAGAGAGAGAGAGTTATTGCTGTATGGATAAGGTCAATGTTTTGCTCTCATAGCAGAGCAAAAACATAGCAGAACTTAAGAGATAGTTAGCTTTGGTTCTCCATTCTGACTTTAAGCAGGCTACATCATTATGCCAGTAGGTGGTGAAGAGTATCATTATGAGTGAGTCACTAGCTGGGTTTCCAACATCCTATGTAATGTGCATTTTGAAGTATCGCATGAAAAATATAAAATTTTAAATAAACATCCCTTAATTCAGTTTGCACAAAAAAATAAATAAATAAATCGGACGTATCATAAATTACACCAAAGAGCTTAGAATCACCAAGAGGCGACACTCAATAGAACGTTCCATAGCAACAGCAGCTGTCGTTTGGATCTTATTGCTGTCGCGATGACAAGCAGCTTTGTTTTTTATTTATTAATTTATTTAAAAAGCACAAAAAAGACAACAATACAACACTTACTATCACAATCATCTGCACTTTTAATTTGTAGTTTGTAGTTTATTTTACAGACTTGTAATATGCTGTCGTTCTATTGGAGTTTTCATTCCAAAATGGCGACCGCGCCATCTATTGGCTGTTTCCCAAAACGCACTCGAGTGTCGCCTCTTGGTGATTCTAAGCTCTTTGATTACACTTAGTGACTAATCTCCATTATGCTTGCTCTGTTTACTTTTGGTTACTGGGTTACCAATACTACAGTCAGTCGCTCTAAAAACAACATGGAAATGCACCTAATTCGCATTTGGGATTAGGCAACCCCTTTTACACAGTAATAGCGGTAAATATCCAGAAAATTTCCGGAATGACTTTACTGGTAAGTTAAAAAAAAGCGCTGTTCACACAGGCAGGGACATTCCAGAATTTTTCCAGAAAAAAAACGTCACACATCCATTCCTAAATACTTGTAAATTCGGACATCATTAACTGAGCTCTAAACAGCCTTGCTTGTATTTGTAAAGATAGAAGAGGTCTAGAAGATAGAAAGATAGAAAATGTGCTCATTTAGCAAGGTGAGCGAATAATTCACTTTAATGAGTGAATTGCTGATACAGTATATACGTTTTACAGATTGTTCAAATGAACTGATTCATTCAGGAACAAAACACCAAAATGAGTAATTCTTTTAGTCAAAAATACCAATTGATTCCATAACAAAACCAACTAGCTGGTTATATTCGTGATGAATTATTGATTCAGTCGACTTATTAAAAACATATTGTTTAAAGATGATAATTTAATCAGAGACACAACCTACACATATTGGTCTGAAACAAAACAGTGTTTTGTTTATGTGGAAGGCAAAAGAACAGACAAAACTGGGCCTAACCCTTTTTTGGAAGAACAACATGTGGGAAATTCATTGATATTGGTTACAATAATAATTTTTTTTTTCAAAGTCATAAAAGTTTTAAAATCTTGTAATAACATCCCAGAAGTACTCCTGGTTTTTCCCAATGAGTAATTCAATGAGTACCATATAAAGGGTTAAAATGTAACCTAATATTAATTTGTTAATTAAACTTTTTTACGAAGACAAGGTGACACTTGATATTAATGATATTTGGGAACTATTACTAGTGTGCTAATGAGTAGATACATATCAGTGAAGTGCACAACGTAGAAGACATCCTGCAGTTTGTTTTCTGTGGAGTCTAGTGGTCTTGCCCTCATACTGCGGTATTGTTTGCCAGAAGGTAGGAAAGAAAACAGCTTGCGGCTGGGGTGGATGGGGTCTCGGATGATGGATTGAGTCTTATAACGACAGTGAATGGTGGATATCACTGATTGATGATAGACCGCATCTTATAATGCTCTGTGCCATCGCCTCAAACTTCTCTAAAGCATATCTGTCTGTAAAATACAGTAGAGCAGCTAGCGAAGAAGCTTTCTATGGTGATAAAACTTGATTACACTGATTACAGAATTTTTTTTCACAAAACAGCAAAATCAGTCATCAATCCTTATTAGTTTGTCATTACCAATGTCTTTTAGCAGTAATTAACCTGTTATTTAGTTATTTGCCAGTTATCAATATATTAAAAACAAAATATTTTATACCTATTACTATACCTGTTATTATTCACTAAATATTACATATACATTTTCATCTTCTGGAGAGTTTTATTTGATTTTACCTATTTATTTAGAACAGAAAAATCATAAACAAAACACTTCTTTAAACAAAATACGGAGCGGGATGAAGCACAAGCTTATTATTTTCCCCAACCCATTAATACACACATCATTTGTTTATTACTTTAACTTATTTCTTTTTTTACTTATCTCTTCTTTTTACATGAGACATATAAGCTTTACATAAAACAAATTTTATCATTTTGGCATCTTTGACATATTTCAATGTTTGATTCCATTTGTACATTTACGTTTTATAACATAGACCCCAAAAATACATAATATTGCAAACGGCTATTGACATTTTATCATACCTTTCTCAGTTTATTCTTTTTCAAATACCTCTATTCATCATTATATTATTTTAATAATGTATATTTATTAGGGATGTAACGGTATTGTAAATACCGTCATACCGCAATATTAATTTTTTTCGATATTACCGAAGTCGCATGACTCTGTAAAACTATAGGTCTTCTGAGAAAATTTGCTCAGGCGAATGAAGCGAACGGGAGGTAGCGAAAACTACTATTCCCATCAGCCCATGCTTGACCATCATCCCTTGCGGTCTGTTGTCGCTACAGATCCAGTAATGCGGAAATGGAGTGTGCTGCTAGAAGCGGGGATGAAAAGAGCTGGAAAACTCTAAGGCCCCGTTTACACTAATGCGTTTTAGTTTGAAAACGCATAAGTTTTGCTACGGTTACGCCAACCGTCCACACTACATTGGAGTTCTCAAGCGCCGAAAACGGAGCGTTTCGAAAACGCTGGAGAGGCCGTTTTCATTCTGAAACGCTGCTGCTCCGTCTCAGTGTGGATGATGGAAAACGGAGACATCTGAAAACGGAGGCGAGGCTGCAGACGTTTGCCTCTCTGATTGGGGCTTTTCCTGAATATTAAGTAGCCTAACACGCACAGTTCAGTCCTGCATTCTCTCCGTGTAAGTTCAGACTTCGCAAGTTTGATCAAGGCTGCAGTCTCTTCTTCTCAGTTTGATATGGAAAACAGACTATACCGAGGACACGGGTAAATCTTCAAAGGGAACAGTGTACTTTATAACTTCATTCACATCATCCTGGCTACGTTGTTTCACTTTCTCAACAATAAAATGTAAACATGATTTAAGGAACTGCCTATTTTCATTTTAATATTAGCAACTTAGACAGCAGACATGTTGAGGCGTCGTGCTGCATAAGATGAGCGTCATCTTCACTGTGTGGATATTTATAACAAAACGGAGCCGATAACAACTGCCTCCTTTCAATTTCAGTGAAAATACGAAACACAGCCTCTCTTTTGCTGAGTATCAGTTTTAAGAATCGATAATGGCCATTTTAAAAGTATAACATACAATAAGTTTATACATTATAGGAAATAAAGGGAAGCGATCAGTCAATATACAGAATGTACGTGGTTACATTAATCATTAACTTATCTTTGCGCTCTGCCAAAACACGTTACCTGAGAACAAGTAATAGATTCCAATGACCAAAGTCAGGGAATATGTCGTTAGATAAAGACAACAAGATAAATGAAATATCCCGTTTAATAAATATAGTGAGATTAGATCCAGCGGGAGATGCTTGATGAGAAGTCCGACTAGCAGAGCTCTCATCTGTGTAGATGGGCTGAGTGTGATTAAATGTTGAATGTCATGAGTTTTCAACAATACTAAATTGAAACTTTATTTTTTTACATGGTTTAATAATTTTTTGTTATTAAAATTGAAATTCCTGTTTCAAAGCTTACAGATAGATGGCTAATTTGTATGTCATTGACACTTTTGGCACTTTTTTGGAGTATTTTCATAAGTTTTGTTTTTTCCTGTAAATGATTCAATAAATACCGTACCGTGAAATTCTGATACCGTTACATCCCTAATATTTATACAACTTTTTAAATTGATTAATATACGGACATTGTTTGAAAATCTGTTCCAGACTGTTCCATAATTTCACACCACATACAGACATATACAATTTTCAACCTCCTAAGATTTTGTTCTTCTCTCAGAATATATCCCCCTTGTCTTTCTTCAAAAAACAGTTTTATGCATTTCGAAAGTAATTTATTCCTAGATTGAAACATAAATTGTGCTATTTTAAATTTAACCAAGGCATTGAACTTAAATCTTCAATAAAAAAAAATTAAAACAAATATATATATATATATAAAGTGAGGAGTAAATAAAACTTATTTACTCCTCAAATACTATATATATATATATATATATATATATATATATATATATATATATATATATATATATATATATATATAGTATTTGAGGAGTAAATAAGTTTTGTAAATAAGGATTTGTTTTGTAAATTTGTTTTGTAAATAAGGATCGTAAATTAGATCCTACAAATTTCAACACAGTAACTCATATACAGTATGGCAATATAGGTTTATGTAATACATACAATGAATTATTGCCCAGGATAATCTTGCTTCATACACTATTGCTATAGCTTTTACCAATTTTGATTCCACCTTATTTATTTGCTGTTTCCAACTAATGTTATGATGCAATACAACACCAATAGAATACTCTTTTTATAACTTCATTATTAATTTTTAAATCTATATAATGATTCATTTTTATTTTCCCACATCACAAAGCCTTTGTTTTAATTTAATGACAACGTAATGTTTATGTCAAACCACAATTTCAATTAATAAATTTCTGTTTTAATTAACTCCACAAGTTTTGGTAAATCATCCTCAGAACAAAAGATACTTGTATCCTCCGCAAAAAAAGCTTACTTAACTCTGATATCTTACACATATCATTAATGTAAATTAATAAACAATAAACAATATTGGACCTCAAACTGATTTTCGTAGTATGCCACAATTTACATTTAGATATGAAGATTTATGGTTGCAAATTTCAACTAACTGTTGCCTATTTTTTCAAATAACTGCTTATCCAATCCAAGGCTACTCCTCAAATTCCATACCTTTCTAAGTTATTTACTAATTTATTATGATTTATTGTATCAAATGCCTTCTTAAGATAAAAAAAATCCAACTACCTTCTCCTTTTTGTCTCTCTTAGTATTAATTTCCTCAATAAGTTAATGCTAGAGATGTTAATCAATTTTTCCTGAAACCATATTGCTCATCAGCTAAAATGGTATGCGCTTCTATGAAATTATTAAGTCTGTTAACAAAGAGTTTTTCCAAAATTTGTGAAAACCGAGATAGTATAGAAACTAGCCTAATTTGTAATATAGTTTATCTCCAGATTTATAAAGTGGAATTATCTTAGAAATTTTCCTTTTATTTGGAAATTTACCAGATTGGAAAGATCTATGACAAATATAGGTTAATGGTTCTACAATGTCTTCAATCACTTTCTTAATTATATTATTATCAGTAAAATTGATATGAATTATATTCATTTTAGTTTAATTGGACATAATGATAAAATTGATAATTAATTTTATCATTTTAAATATAAAAGCTATTTATTTCCACTTATAATGTCCTTAATCTTTGAGAATAGAAAGTGGTGTTGTCTGTTTGCTAAACTTTTCAAAAGCGTAAATGAAAAAGCAATTTTGAATTAGCAAATTTGCTATGTCTGAATGAGTAAAGATGTGGTCTAAGAGAAGCAGCAATAAATCACTGATAGAAGTTTAAATATCTAGAGCTGAATGTAATCCAAGTCCTGTAATGCACAAAGTGTTTTGACAGGAACTGACATCAGTGTTTACAGACAGCTGTGGAATATAAAAGAACAGCAGTCTGACTGGAAGGCATGCAGACTATGGTGTATTACAAATCTCAATGTGCTACCTGAATTTCCAGAAGTGTCTCTTCCTCTTTAGCGTTATTGTTCCTCTTGTCCAAGATCCCGTCTCCTCGTAGCAGTGCTTCAAGGGCCGTGGCCTCTGTCTGCGGGGCTTCTCTCTTGGCCATCAGCTCAGCCTCTAAAGACAGACAGAGAAAGGAGGAAAATCAAAACCTCTGCTAATTTCAACCTGTCCTCCATGAACAGTTGGGTCCAAAATAGGGCTGCACAATATATCATAAAATTATCATTATCACATTATAATAGTATAAATGTACTGCAGATTTGTGTTTTTGTTATGCATACATTTATTTTATGCATTGGTTGTTTATCTCAATTTGACCGAGCAGATGTGGTTTTTACTATTTTTATCCCCACCATGCTATTGGCTGGAGTGGCTCAAAAGTGAAGCCAGTACCGAAAATAAACACTAATGGTGAAAATGACAACAGCCAGTGAGAGTCAGAAAATTTGCTAAGGTTTTCACTCATATATAGTGTTTTAAACACTAAATGTTTGCATTAAAATAAAATTAAATAAATAATTAATTTAAAAGTCAATGCCAATAGCCTGGTGGTACTGTGCGTCGACATACAGGTCGAACACAGAAGTGCTCACGGCAACCTCAGTTCAATTCCCAACTCAAGGTTATTTGCCAATCCTTCCCTTCTCTCTGCTCCCAATGGTCTCCTGTCTGAAATCTCCACTGTCCAATGTCATAATAAAGGTGAAAACCCCTAAAATATAATTATATATATTTTACTAAAGCATAGCTAATAAAAATAGCATTTTTTATCTAGTGATATGTTAATCTCGATATCACAATACCTAACAACAATATCGCATGTAACATATCTTTCCAGTATGGTGCACCTCTATTCCAAAACACTAAGAGCATTTCCTAAAATGCTTAAATTAGCGTTATTTTGTAGTATAATAAAATGCTATGCTTACAAAATACATGATTTGCATACAAAAAGTGAGGTAAAAAGAGAAAACTTAAAGGGCTAGATTTACAAACAGCTTGCTCCAGTGCAAACCGTTTAAGAAAAGTGCTGATACGGTTAAACCTGACCTTATTGCTTATGCATTTGTAGGAGTTTCCTGATCAGATAGAAATTGTATGGCAAGTAAGTATTTAAATAAGTATGCAAAACAATTAGCTAAAATTTGTGCTCCTCGAATTACGGGCATTATTTAACAGATAAAAAGCATGTCTTAAATGTAGTGCTTGAAATTATTGTTGCCAAGAAGAGGCACTGCAGAAGAACAGAGAGCATGTAGTGTATTTTTTCCACACTTATAAATTTATTTGAAATGCCAGAGGAACATCCGAACACACTGTTTGCCAAGCCATGGTATCTTTATTTGCCATAGAACAAAATTACCATCCATTCATATTCGTTATCGATTAACTTGCAGTAAGAGAAGCCTGGACACGTTTTGCTTATTTGCCACTATGCTAATTTGCGATGCACTGATTGTGCATTGGTCGATATGTAAATGAGATGTTACATCTGTGTTCTTTAATTTGTCTGTAAATTATCTGCAAAAATTTCCAGGCCTATCTGCACTGTTTAGGAATTAGACTCATGTACAATGTTTAGTAAATCTGGACCATAATATACTTTGTAAAAAGGTAAATGAATTTCATATTTTGGATGTTTAAATAGAAAGTACAGTTGTGCCTGTTAAATTAAACCTCTGAAAGGACTTTTTTAAAGGCAAATTTACTCTGCATATATATATATGTGTGTATTTGCCAGAATCAGTTTAGGTAGCTCTCTCTTGGACGCAGCAGCCATCAATATGTTTGTACAGGATGGCTAGCTTTTCAAGCCTCATTAAAGGTGAAAAGCTCCAGGTGCTAAAGATGAAATATAGGATATGTGTGTATACTGTATATGAGGGGAAAGGCACAAGGCAAATAATCTTAGGATGTGTTCCATTTCACTCCCTAGTTTTTATGATGTAGAACGTTGTCTCATGCTATAGAGCACAAACAAGGACTTGCATCCATTAAACATTGGGTCACACATGACAGATCCACTCATGACACAACTGCAAGGTCAAGTTTACCAACACTAGAGTATGTGCATTATGAATCTACTTACTGGATTTACACAGCTGGTAAAAAAAAAAAAATGTACAGTGTCCTTATGAAATACAGACAATTTCAAGCAGAACAGATTATGTGCATATTTAATAATTACAGCTTGGCATAAAATATAATTGTTAGACATAAGCAGATATTCAATAGTTTAATATATTTTGATAATGAACATGCAGAATGTTTGTTTTTAAAACTTTAAGAGTGCTTTTTATACTCAAGAGTGTTGTATTGGCAGTGGTTGTTCATCACAGCACCAAACGTTTGAAAAATTAATAAGGGATTTATTTTCAAACCTACATTTTCACATGTTAATCTGGTTTGCGACATAGATTCTGAGACTATTTATAGGTCTGTTGTTCATTAACTACGTACAGTAAGGTTCCATTTTTTTAACATCAACAAATCTTTGCTGAATAAAACAAATGGCAAATATTTAAAGTATAGAGTAAAATACCCTTTTTTGTATGTTTGCAACAATGCCAAACAAGCACACGGAAAAGAATTTTAAAGACAAATCTTGAATCTTTACTTTTGCACTTGTCTTCTGATGACCTGAGAGATTTAGAAAAATTATTTCAGACAAACGAATATAAATACAGGGTATGTACACTCACTGGCCACTTTTTCAGGTATAACTGTCCAACTGCTCATAACGCAAATTTTTAATCAGCCAATCACATGGTACTTTAAACGTGGCGTGCTTGTTGGTGCCAGACGGGCTGGTCTGAGCATTTCAGAAACTGCTGATCCATTGGGATTTTTATGGACCACCACCTCTATGGTTTATAGACAATGGTCTGAAAAAAATATCCGATGAGTGGCAGTTCTGTGGGCAAAAATACCTTATTGATGCCAGAGGTCAGAGGAGAATGGCCATACTGGTTCCAGCTGATAGAAGGGCAACAGTAAGGCCCAATCCTAATTTTATTTTTTACAACCGAGGGTTAAGGGGAAGGGCTTAAAAATTTACCCCTAAGAATTGGGACAGCACTACAGCACCTGCACATGTCATCATATGTCCTCGCGATCTCTTGCTTCATATGAGATCAGATGATAGTGACTACTGTAGTGATTCCAGTTGTTTCATTTTTTTGGTATTTATCTTCAGGAAATCACTGAAGGCATATATCATGTCATCATAACGATCTAATGTGGCAATAAGATCATAACTGTACTGTGGATTTTCACAGTGGCCATATTAATAAATGTAAACACACCAAAAACAACATGAACATTATAGCAGACACTGTAAAAAGCTCATTCTCAGCCACTAGACTTTTCTGACAGGGTATTCCAGTGTTATCGAGTGTCAGAATGTTGTGGGACAGCTGTACAGGAGTTATTTTTAGGGATTATAGATTGCGAATAGATCACGAAATTTATCGGTTTTTATTTTAGCGTTTTTTTTTTTAAAGCATGATGGTAAAACACGAGCGCGGTTATGAATATATTAAAACTTGTTTGTTTGTTATAAAAGATTCGTAATAATGACAAAAAATTCTAATTAGTGGATCTCCTTACTTCCGGGTGCAGCTGTGGCTAGTATATTCTGGGAAATTTTTCCTACCCCTTAGAAGGGGTGTATACCCCTTGCCCTTAGCCCTACGCCTTCAAGCTAAAGAGAATTGGGACACCACTACCCCTTCATGGGCTACAGCAGCAGAAGACCACACCATGTGCCACTCCTGTCAGCTAAGAACAGGAAACTGAGGCTACAATTCGCACAGGCCAAAACTGGACAGTAATAGATTAAGATAACGTTGCCTGGTCTGATGAGTCTTGATTTCTGCTGTAACATTCAGATGGTAGGGTCAGAATTTGGCGTCAACAATATGAAAGCATGGATCCATCCTGCCTTGTGTACACGGTTCAGGCTGGTTGTGCTGTAATAGTGTGGGGTGTAATAGTGAATTTTCTTGGCACACTTTGGGCCAATTAGCATCTTGTCAGAGCCTACGTAAGTATTGTTGATGACCATGTCCATCCCTTTATGACCACAGTGTACCCATCTTCTGATGGCTACTTCCAGCAGGACAACATGCCATGTCATAAAGCGTGAATCATCTCAGACTGGTTTCTTGGACATGACAATGAGTTCACTGTACTTAAATGGCATCCACAATCACCAGATCTCAATCCAAAAGAGCACCTTTGGAATAAGGTTGAACAGGAGATTCGTATCATGGATGTATAGCCTGCAGCATAAATCTGCAGCAACATCGTGATGCTATCATGTTAATATGGACCAAAATCTCTGAGGAATATTTTCAGTACCTTGTTGAATATATGCCATGAAGGGTTAAGGCAGTTCTGAAGGCAAAAAAAGGTCCAACTCTGTACTAGTAAGGTGTACCTTATAAAGTGGCCAGTGAGTGTATATATCTCCATCCTTTAGTTGTTGATGCAGTGCAGTCTGGGAATGTTTCAGTGAAACTGTTTTGAATCAATGTAGACAGTTTTAAAATGGCTGACTATAGAAAAAAAGTACACTTACTAGTGAACAAGGAAGTATACTGAAACACACCCTTCGATCCCTTCGATCCGTCACCACATTTGAATTCCTTTCAATAATATGCATCTTTGGAGTTGAAGTGCTCTTACCAGCAGTGTGGCCATATAATGTGTTTGCAGTTACATTTGTTTACTCATTTCTTTTAACCTCCCAAATGTGTTGTTACACGATTGAAAATGTTTGCATGAATCTCTGTCCTTGTCTTTATTCTCTTTGTGTCTGATTGAGTCGAGACACACTCTTCCCCTGGGAGTGGAGCTGAAAATAGCGCAGACTGCCAGTCAGGGGCTGATTGCAGTCACCCATCCCCCGTTTGCAGACGCCAATCACGAACAACAGGCTAAGGGAGCTTGATGTCTACAGACACAAATCATAAGGTCTTAATCATCGCAGTATAATACAGCACTGCAATATTTATGCATGCCATTAAATCATGACATTGGCACTGACTGGAAAGAGTCGGCACTGCTTTTAATTAAGAATTTAGCAAGAAGTCCGTTTTAAATGGCTATTGTAGAGCATAATGAATATATCGGTTTCCAGAAATGCAGCTGTTTGGTGTTGTCGTAGTTGCTTGATTATGTAGCAGACAAAATAGCCTGATTGAATCACTTTATTGAATTAGAGACTGTTCTACATGCCACATTTGCTGTGGAGAAAAAGGCTGAATGTCAAGATTTACGTTGGAATCACACTTGCTTGCTTGGTTGCTTGTCGTTACAAACCAGACTTGGATGGGATACTGGACACCAAACCTGTTTACAGTGGCTGAGCACCCAGAAATGTACAACGCAAACACTTTTCAGGCAGGAAACGTAGGAAAGATGTCCTGCTGTAACAGACCAGAATTATGCCTGGCTATAGTGTAAATATTACAATTCCAGGACTCTGGAAAACACATAACTTAAACAGATAGGTCATTCAAAAATGAGAATTATGTCATTATTTACTTTTCCCATGTTTGTTCCAAACCTGTTTGATTTACATCAGCCTGTGCAACATGGGATGTAGTGTATCACTTTTCTTGGGCATTTACATATTGAAAGTGTTAGTCTTGACAACTGCACAAACTACACACAAGTTTGGAGTCAGAAAGTTTTTTTTTTTTGTCCTTTCCTTAAAGATGCTCTATATTGAGCAAATGTTACTAAAGAAATGTAAAAAAAAAAGTTAAATATTAAACGATACAACTAAATCTAATCAAGTATATTAGGATTATTTTTGAATGATTATGTGACAATCAAGACTAATGAAGTAAAGGGTGGCTAATCTTGCCATTAAATAAATGGAAACATTTAGATTACATTTACATTTAGAACTTTAAAAATCATTCAGAGGTAGGAACCGGGGGACATGCAACAACTTTAATCATAAAGGTAAACACAAAACAAAAGTTTCCATCTGGAGCTCCTTTACGAGACTTGACACTTGTAAACACTTGCTCCATTGGGCTTGTGGCTCTCAGCACCGCCCAAGCTGACCAATCACAGAGCTTGCGCTACGCGTCGTTGCGACGTGTGGTTACATTTTTTGAGAGGTGTGTCAGCCATGGCAAAGGCTATGCGACTGCGCGAAGGCTGTGCCAGACCATACGTATGTGTTTGACACAAAAGTATAAATTAGCCTTTAGGAGGTTTGCTGAAGGTGTAGTTGATGTGCAGTGAGGGGTTTGTGTCTTTAATAAACTTTTGGAATTTGTTGGATATATTGGTTGTAATATATGAAAAAAGGATCGACTTTTTGACTGTGACACCCATCATACAGAGCTTAAATCAGAATCTGCACTATTTATTTAGAGGATGTTGAATAAAAAAAAAAACTTCTATCTAGGAACAAAGCATTGAGTGTAAAATCATAAGTCTGATTTTCATTTTTTTGTGAGAAGCTAACACGTATGGGGAATAAATATCCCAAATCTGACTCTGTAAATGAACACTTCTCAAAAGTATTTTTTTAAAAGCAAGGTTTGACAATAAGCATGGCCTAATATGCGTGCAAATGTGATCTTAGAATCAAGAAGCAGCAAGACTGACAAAACTAATTGTTCACAGGAGCAAAATAAAGCAGGTGATTACCGGATGAGAGGATGATGATGTGCCCGACTGTTCAAAAGCATGCGCGCTCCCTTTTACTTGCGCGAAGCAACAGTGCCAAAAGGAAACGCAACTGCTTTTATCGGTTCTCTTTGAAATAGACTGGACAAAAAGCTATGCTTGTGCACCCACAGTCCTGCTGCTTTCAAGAGCTCAAGACACCATCAGCTCACCCAAAAAAAAGAGTTGGAAAATGTTGACAAAAATCCAATTGCGCGTCCCTTTTATATTCAACAGGGTCCAAATAAAATAATAAAAGGTAATTTCTGATGTATTTAAGTTATTACAATCCTTTTTTTGTTGATTTTTCTAGTATAACTACCTATTTAAATGACTATATCCTGAAATATATTAGCATGAAATCAAATTAATCACCATGGAAAAGAATTTTGGTCATACCGCCCACCTCTACTGAACGGTCTGAATTTGTCAGGAGAACATTCATGCTACTCAAGGTGTTTTTTTATTTTGTTTTCTCCTGATATCTGCATTACTGGAAACCACTCTCCTTGAGGCTTAAATCACTTTTATTCACATGTTTTTGTTGAACTCGTGCTGGCTGAGGTCCAATTGAAGGTCAGAGGTTCTTATATTGCTTTACTGCTATAGTGTTGCCAGGGACAGCTAAGAAAATAATAGAGTGGCCCTCTTGTTGACACAGACAGGCCTTTATTCGCCTTTATCAAGTTCCTCAAGCCCTTCTACAGCCCCCCATCAGACCTACATTCTAATGCTGCATGGCCAAATGATTAAAGGGGCCCGATCAGGGCACACAGACACAGAGAAGCATAACGAGACCCAGATGGGCCGGTTCTGCAGCCTCTCTATGACCTCAGAGCAAAGAAGCAAGGACGGAGAAGGAAAAGTGAAGCAAAAAAAAGCTGCAACGCAAATGTTAGCAAGAGAAAAATGACACAATTAGCTGCAATGGTGATCTCACCGAGTCTGAGTTCACAAAGACGGAGCTGAGGGTCAAGAGGTGTGTGAAGTCGCCTCTTCTTCCTCCAACAACGCGCTGGGTAGGTGTACATCTGACCTGCTGCCATCCCTGCAAAAACAAATACAGCAGAATGCTTTGAATAGGCTTCCAAATTAATTCGAAATTACCTAAAGTTTAGCTTAAATTTGGTCAGGCTCAGCCTTCTAATACTGCTTGTCAAGGTTAAAATTATTGAGATGGGCAATCAAATCAAAAAAGGTATAGAAAAGCATGTATCAGTTCAATGTTGAAATAAAAGCAAGGTAAGATTGAAGTAGTGAAATGGTAATAATCTCTTTTTTCAAATTTCATTGTTTTAAATTAGAAATTAGGGAAATTAAAAATCTAGATTAATTGAACATTTCGATTATAATTAATGAACCATTATTTATTTGTTTAATTTATTTTTTTGCCCTCAGAGTTCACTGACAGGTTTTGTACAGTAAATATGCTCACATAATACAAGTGAGAGATTTCTGAATGAATTATGCATTACTTGATTTTAAAATCAAGTATATCAATGTATATCATATTAATTATATTTTAAACAGTGCATTTCTTGCATATTCTGTAAACAAATATTTTAATGTAAATAATAATTGTTATGTCTTGGAAAATATCCTGTCTCAAGGCATCTCTGGTGCAGCTTCCAATCATCGTCAATATAGTGCAAAGTAAGGCTCAAGAATGAGTCCATCGTCTTTCTTGATCAGAAATCAGATTTGCCTGCAAAGTGGCAGCAGAAGTGTAAATCAGCCTCAGCATTAGCATAGCGGGGTCACAATACTCCACACTTGGAAGGGAAAGTAATTGAAGAAACTGACCTGGAAAAATTAGATAGATTCTAGACCATTTCGATGGATGTAAACAATAACAATGGTCCTTACGTATTTCCAGTTTTACAATTTTAATGTCTATTGCTTCCGAGAATGCAAAAATGTCTACATATTGATAAATAATGTTATGATGGCTGTTTTAATGTGAAGGTATGATTAAATTGCCTCTTGTTACACTTATGAAATACGACAACAAGCAGGAAATGTTCATGGGCCAATGACATCACCAAATTGAAATGGTCTATAGGTTCTGAATGTCGATTTCGATTACTTTTCGATTAATTGCCCAGCCATATTAAAATATAATATTTTTTTAATGTGATTTTTGTGTATTTCCTAAATTAAAGTCAATGCGACAACACAAGAAATGCTTTGTGTTTTTGCAATATTATTTAAACCAATAACAAACTCTGATTTAAAGGGATAGTTCACCCAGAGTTGCACACTTTTTGTATTTACACACTAACAAAATAAAAAAATTAAAAAAAAAAACAAACAATACTATTAAAGTAAGCGGTTAAACTTTTTCAGCATTCTTCATTATATCTTATGTGTTCAACAGAAGAAAGAAACTCAAACAGGTTTGGGAACAAGTAAAAAGAGAATAAATGATAATAGAATGTTTGTTTTTTTGGGTGAAATACTTATTTAAAGTATATTAAAATCAGAAAAAAGACTGATACAGGACTATGTACTTAATGTCTTTAAATATAGGATGAAGAAACTACAACCCCACACATGAATGTGAATGATAATCAAATGATGACGCAAAACCAATAAAGTAAAGCAAAACTAGTCATATTAGGTTAATAGCTGTATTTATAGAAGCTATATATTTCAAGTGTATTTTATAAGTGTATCTATTTCCTTATGGAAAAAATTGAGTTTATGGGTATTATTGCTCCTACAGTAGTTTATTCGTAGGATTGCATCACCATACTCATTTGACTAACAACGTGAGAAGAATATTTTCTGCTGGCACATATTATGGCCCACTCATCAACAGTTAGTAAACTGTCTTCCAAACTAATACATTCTATTATTTATGTGAAGCCACATAATATTTTTCTCCCTGATAGAAAACTGGTCTGGTCTGGTCCAGTAAGGGCTGTAATTGAAAATACTGGCGTCAAAGGTTTTCATAGGTCATTCTCTCTTATTGGCCCATGCCACAAAATCTGTACGGTTACACAGATAGGAGGCACATGGTCCCAGTTATGCATTCATCCAGTGTCCTAATGGTAAAATGGAGGAATTGAGCAAGAGAGATCTCAGAATAAAAAAAACATCCAATAAACACTGGTTTACCACAAAGTGTAGGGTGTGGCTATAGAGCTTTTAGTTGCAAGGCGCTGACTCTATTTGTGTCCGGTTCTCAGCAGGCATATTGTTCACTTTGGCAGCTATATGTCTACATATTGGCTGTTTTGGTCGGACAATATGCAAAGGAATGCTGTGGAAAGACTACAGACAGAATCCCAATGCATTCTTCTGCCTCATTACATTGAATAGTTCATTGCATTGTCTAACAGATAACAAGTGGAAACCTATAATCTCCATAACAGTTGTAGGCTGCATACACAGTCATCAACACATGTTTTATTTGCGCTTTATGTGTCAACTGCTGTAAAACCAGATGCGTTATCCATAAATCATGCTGTAATTTTAAGCGGAATTTAAAATGGAGGTTTAGATGGATGTGTAATGTGCCAACTGAACCAAAGTTTAAATGAACCAAATGCCTGCGGTGAGACGAAAAAAAAATTAGGAATGACTGGATGTTTGGCAGTTGTAAACATTTGGTTAGATGACAGCATCTTAAGATGGAAGCACCATACAAAACCCGAGATGCAATGTAAAGCTCATTTAACATGTTAACACATATAAATATTGCTGATTCATGTTAGCACATCCCACCTCTTCATTTATAGTTAACTGTACAAAAATCACCCTCAATCACCATATAATCTCAAATTAACGCAACTTCTGTAAAATTAACCATTCAAAATGTTTTTGCACAGCAACAGGCCAAAAACTCATTATTCAGTGACAGTCCTATACTGTCTGTTTAGCTGTCAAATCAAGCAATACTGTTACCAGATTCAGACGTTAAATTCATAAATGTGCCTGATATTTAAAAGATTGACTTCATTTAACAAAACAGACATAAAAATAATGATTTATTCACTTGCACAATAATCAAATTAAACTTTTAGTCAGTTATGGCTTCAGATTGACTACTGAAACATGTATATGATTTATTTATTTAAAGTCGTTGCAAAATTGCGGATTTCACTAAATTTAAGTAAACAAGTTACCAAAAACTAAATAGTAATAATGTTGTTTTCGAATGAACCTGTAAAGGGGCAGTATGTAAATTTCGTTGCTGGAGGGCAGGTATTTACAACAAACATAGGCATAGTTTGATGACGTCGTGACTGTAAAAGAATATGGAATCATGAGAGTTTTGCTCTTTATTACATCTTATAGTACTCTTGTAGAAATCACGTTCATGAATGAGCTAGAGTATTCAAAACTTATTATCATGATAGTATGAAGCGGAGTATAAGGCTGGAAGCTGTCAGTTCTTAAAATGGCTTGTTTTAAACATTTTTCAAAACATTTGGTATAATGTATAAGTCAGCAAAATATGTTACACTGTTTTTTTTGGATATTGTAATGGAAAAAATCTTACATATTGTGCCTTTCAATTACATTTTTAACATTAAAATATTATGTTAACACTGGAACAACCAGAAGTCTAAAACTACTAGAATTATTTTAGCGCTCGTTCTGACCATTCTCATTTAAGACGTCATATTATCGCATCATATTTACATTTAAGGCTTCTATTAAGATGTTAAATTTAAGCTTTGAATGTCTGTCATCATATTTAATTAAGTCATCACCCTAAAATTATGATCTTTTTGATAATACAGCCAATAAAATTATAGTTAGGCTATCGCTCGTGAATGTCCACACCTCACTTTTTTTCACTTTCTAAAGCAAGGGAGAAGGCTTTTTCGCAGCACTGAATATGCTGTTTTGAAATATTTATCGGAAGTACAGTTATGTTTTTGCCAACAGAAAGTATATTTAAAGTCACTGGGAAAAGTAGCAGATAGTGATGGGAAGTTCGGATCATTTTACTGACTTGGATCTTTGAGTCTTGTTCATTAAGATGAACGAATCTTTTTTCGAGTCATTTCGTTCATTTGGTTCAATTTGCCAAAATATTATTGAAAGGTTATGAATTGCTTCCAAACACATCTTCAACTAGCCCCAAATGGTTGATTGCACGACAAATAAGTCATAAATAGAATACTATAAGAAGGAGAAAATAATAATTCAATGTTTACCTGCTCTTTTGTCTATGAAGGCATTTTTGTCTCTTTGCTCAGCTCACCTCTTCATGTCTTCAAATGTCACAGTCACATATAATTTTAAACAATGCACAGTCTAAGCCGATAGGAGCCATGATCGTTCGTTCATCACGTGACAGAATGACTCAAACCCGAGGACTCGACAGATGAACGGTTTAATTCTTTTTCTGGCTCTAAACGCGTATGATTGGCCCGTGAAGAACGAGTGACTCAGACCCAATAGAGGACTCGAGAGATGAACGGTTCAATTCTTTTTCCGGCTCTAAACGGGTATGATTGACCCGTGATGAACGAGTGACTCAGACCCGATAGAGGACTCGAGAGATGAACGGATCAATTCTTTTTCCGGCTCTAAACGCGTATGATTGGCCTGTGATGAACGAGCGACTCAGACTCGATAGAGGACTCGAGTGATGAAAGGATCAAAACTTTTTCCAGCTCTAAACGCATATGATTGGCTCAAGATGAAAGAGTGACTCAGATCTGATAGAGGACTCGAGAGGTGAGCAGACTAATTCTTTTTCCGGCTCTAAACGCATATGATTAGCTTCTGCCAATGTGATGAAGACTTGAAATTAACGATACTACCTGCACAAATGTGCGCACGCGTGGATGAACGAATCACTCCCTGAGAGGACTCGTAGTTCCCGAGTCATATTGAAGATTTGTTTAAAATGAACGAATCGTTCATGAACGACCCATCACTAGTAGCAGACACCAAAATGCATGTGGTCATTTTGACCACTGTGCTAGTTCTAGGGTTGTCACAATACTGGAATTCGGTACCAATTGATAATGAAATTTAAAAAATGTCCAAATACCGCTGACATTTGAGCAGTACAGAGTTCTTTCTTAAACAATGTTGATTTGCCGTTATGTTCATGTGATCAACCAGAAATGACTGTGATTGGCTGTGAAGCTCATTAGTTCACCGAACTCACCGCCGTTTACTAAGTGTAAACACAGATACAGGGACATTGGACAGTTTTAAAGCCGCGATTTATCAGCTGATCGCTCGTATGTCAGCGTATAGACAAGCCAGCTGATCGACACGACTTTCAAACACGCTAGTGTCCCTGTATCTGTAGTTACACTCAGTAAAGATCGGTTAGTTCGGTGAACTAATGACATTCATGACCAATCACAGTAATTTCTGTTGAGCACGTAAACACAATAGCAAATCAGTGCTGTTTAACAACATGCTCAGTACCGCTCAAATGTCAGCGAGAAATTAACATTTTTAAAACTAGTATCAATTGGTACCGAATTCCAGTATCGTTACAACCCTACCTAGTTCTAGGTAGAAATAATCTTAGCTCTTTTGTGTTTTGTAATTTTAATTAAATAACAACGTTAGAAAGAAATATACACATATTAGTAAAAGTCAGGGAATTCTAGATGTGTGTGTTTTATTTTAACATAGTTATTATATTGAAAAAATTAATAACAATCAAAGTGACTGTTTCGATAGTTCTAATGTTAAGTTAAATTAGAGATTGTGCTACCTGGCCCCCGGTGTCGCTTCTCCATCCAGATGTAACAGTTGTTCTGCGCTACGCCTGTCTGAGAGTCCAGAAAGGGCATGCGGACGCTGCGCTCTGCACACAAGCGGGCATTGTAGCTGCGACAGTGCTCAATGGCCTCCCTGTAGAACTGGTCCCCGAGCCTGAGGAAGACACATTTGGTAAGGAATCCTGTTTTTTCATAGTCTAATTTATTAAAACCATATAATGATGGATCCTGAAAAACAAATTTTGAAAAGTGCCAGCTTCGACTACTAAGTACTAGTACCCAAAAGCGACAGTACATGTTAAGCTTTCACACATTAGTCAGACTATTGAGCCGTTTTAAAGACCCTGTTTTGTTGAGTAATACCACTGTACATCAATATGACTTCAAAGCAAGCTAGTGTTTTGCATATTAAGCCTCTGGGTCATGCTTTCTCTTCACATTTCAGTTTCCCACAGACTGTCTGAGAATTCTGCTGCACTTTTGGTTATATTAGAAATGCTTTCATTTTCATCCATGCGATTCCTTATAGGCACTGAAAAGGCATGAAGACGCAAATTCCATACTGCAAGACTGAAGAGACACTGGAGCTGAGCCAGCCTACACCGCTTCTCTCCCTGTTTCGATTAGATCACTCTTCTCTGGACCAGAGAATACACAGATATGTGAGGAATGCTGGGCTGGACAAAGAGGAGTTCTCCAACCCAGCACAGTGACACAAAGAGCCTCAGTGTTTGGAAGGAGCAGGAGAGAAAAAGAGCAGGCAGGTATGAAAAGCAAAAAGTTTGGGAGAGACAAATGAGACTGCCAACATTCGATAGGCTCCGAAGGAAGGTTTGGAAATCTTCAATCAAATGTATCTGGTTTTACATTTGGAAATGTTACTGTTCTGAAATGTGCATAAATAAGGACAAAAACAACTGGTTATAACCCTCATGTTGTTATAAACTCATATGACTTCCTTTCTTCTGTGCAAAACAAAAGAAGACATTTGGAAAAAACAACTTTCAGTGTCCACACAATGAAAGTCAATAGGGTTCAGTGTTGTTTTGGAATAGGGCTGTCACGATATCAGATTCACAACACGATTATCCTGGCTAAAATTCACAAAAACAATCATTGTGCTATCACCGGCAATCATCTTTAACTTTGCTTATTTTGTGTTTGCTTTTTAAGGCAGATGAATCAAACTGAAAACATGAGTGTAGGGAGACATACAGAGAGAGAGTTTGTAACAATGACTTACAAAAGAACTTATTGTTGATCAGCGTTTCCTGCAGACTAGGGTGTCTAACATCCTGTTTATTTTACATAATTCAAAAAACTCTCAGACTGCAAAGCTTTTTATTTGGTAGCGTCTCGCTTTTGTCTGTCACAGGGTTGAAAATTCCGCCAGAATGAACAGGAATGCCACACAAATTTAAGATGACGGGGCACAAAATGTCCCAACACAATTACACTAAACAATGACTACTTTTACATGGACATCAGTAATCGAATTGTTTGCCTTAATCTGAAAAAGACAATAATATGATTAAGGTGTTTACATAAGTTGCTTTTTGAATGTTCCTTTCATGATCCCGTTTTACAAGTTATAGCATATAATTCGATTAATGTCATTGTGTCACCACGCTATCCACATTCCTCTGGAGTTTCATGTAATTTTGGGTGTTTCATTTATCATTTTTTAACTTTAACTGCAGTTTGGCACTTTTGCTTTTATTTAGGAACATTTCTTTCATGCCCCCCTGACAAATAAAAGATTGAATGCGAGTATGAACTGCTGGAAGAGTGTTGTTTTAGTGGAATTTGATACCGCACAATGTATGGGGAAAAAACCTTCGCATTTCATGATGCAGGTGTCTGTGGTCTTTCGCTGACTTGGTAAGTGCACAGAATAGTGTCAAACAGTTGTGTTTGTATAGACTATCCTGTCGCAAAATGGGGCGAAAGTCCTACACAATGGTAATAGTTTGATTAAGGTGTTTACATGCCTGTACAGCCCTTCAATAATGTGACTAAAATCGGCACTCTACAACGTAATTTGATTCCTGTTTAGTTTGATTATGACCTTAATCGAGTTAAATGAATCAAATATCGCTGTTTACATGGTAGACTCTTAATCAGACTACTGTCTTAATTGTATTAAAACCGTATTATTGATGTCCATGTAAATGTATTCAATCTGGTGTTTTTAAAAGAGAAACCTCAAGCAAATTCATAACACAATTCCTGATCATTTTGTTCTTATAACTGTTATGCGTCAGTGTCAAACCTAGCTAAAATGTTGCTGTTTCCTAATTCCTATACTGTCACAAGTATTTAACCAAAGCTGTCAATTTGCCCAGTATGGATTTATATATCATTAGAAAAACATTTCTATTTCCTTTTTATATGGTAGGTAGGTGTCTGAAATGGAGAGCAGGGGCATGGTTTGTGTAACATATCAAATCCGGTTATTATGTGTCCAAAGTCTCTTCTGATACTCTTAGTCATTGGAATTAGTTTCTGGTTCAAACATAGAGCTCAAATGATTCAATATTGTCACTTGCCATTGTGTTGCATTAGAAAAAGAATTCAGTATTTTTAATCTTTCACCAAAAGTAGGGGTGTAACGATACACCAAAGGCACGGTTCGGTTCGGTTAACGGTTTTGGAGCCACGGTTCGGTTCGGTACGGTTCGGTTTCTGTTTGCTGTGGGGTTAGGGTTGATGTCATGTTAACAGCATTGATAAGGGACAATTCACTTAATAACAAGAACATCTTAACTTTTTTTTTATTAACTTTGTCATCGCATTTTTAATACAGTCAGGATACCCGAGTAAACAACTAGAATTAAATAGATACCTCCAATATAGACTAGTCATAAAAAAAATATTATCTTTAGTGCAGCCATCTTAACTAAGTAAACTAAAATTAAATAAATAACTGCAGTGTAGACTAGTGAAAGATCTTCTTCAAAAACACCATAATATCCACATTCTCCGATGAGAGGCTTGATCTCTGTGCAGACACAGACGCTCATTTTTGATTATATGGTTTCATTTAGATAGATAGGTTTCCGTTTAAATTAATGAAAAATATACATATAATGTGTTTGTAAAGTGTTTTTACATGACATATTCACCAGTAAAATACATTGCGGTTGTGTCTGAAACTAATGTTAGGGTTGTAGCCGGCTGTATGTTTGCCTCCCGATCTCTCTCTCCCGCTCCCTCTATGCCGGTCATTTATGTAGGTCCGCCTTCACGACAGCTGATGCCTGTCATTTCTGTAGGCCCGCCTTTTTGACAGCTGATTGGTCAGGAGACCGATCTATCATCATTTGGCGATGCAGCGCGGGAATGTATAAAGCATGTCAGGAAGAGCGGGAGAGAGAGCGCTTTTTCCTTTGATCTCGTTTTTCGTGTATTTTTCTGACATGATTATGATTTTCGTTGTTTTTGCTTAACTTTCGTTTGGGTAAAATTATTTTGCATTACTTTTGCCCACTTTAAGAAATTTTGTGAGGTTTGTACATTTTTATTTCAATTGATTTGTATATTATTTTTTAGCTCCGACAATATAGCTGTATCTCCTCAAGTTCAGTCTTAGTGTAAGGTGGATAGGGAAAATGTCATACGATTTCCATTTTGCAAACACGTAGAAAATGTATCGTTAAAGACATCAGGTAAGAGGTGAAGGTCATCTTTGTTTATTTTATTCAGTATAGGGAAGAATGCGTCGCACGGCGCTGAAGACCTTTTTTTCTTTTCATTAGTTTTTAGCGAGGTAAGGGGTTATTCATGAGTTAGAATTGTTTTGTTATATTTATTTCTTTTGTTTGTCTTCACTATCATCCCCTTGCTCGAGTTTAACTAATTTTTGTTTGATACTTTTGTTTGAATTTGTTACTTTATTATATTATTTTTATTAGTGTAAATATTTCTCTTTTTTTGTATATTTGGGCATTATTCTGGTTTTACTTTTGTACATTAAATCACTCTTGTTGGCAGTTCTGTTGCTTACACCCTCACATTGTGAAATTACCACACTTTTTAAATGTTTTTCCTTACAAGTAAGGCTTTGTCTACGACACAAATTCTATTCCTGTACTCAACTGGAAAATACAAAATGTTTCCACACAGATGACTTAAATGTGTCTTGGGGATCTGCAATCTCAGTACTATGTGAAGCAGCCATCCTGCGTCCAGTAGTAACGAGTGTGATGCTTACTCAAGTCACATGACATAACATGCACTAAAATAGTAACTTTAGAATATAATATTTAGAACAAATCCTCATCATTACTAAAACAATTTAATCAAATATGATAATAAAGATGTGTTTAAATTGGTTCAATTAGTTAGAGACAAGTGACGTCAACCTCAACAATGGGCAGCAGGGGGCGTGAGAGTACCGCGGTACGCCACAAGAGTTTCGCGATACGTATCGTGGTTGGTGTATCGCGATATTTCGGTTCGGTTTTTAATATCGTTACACCCCTAACCAAAAGCCATTTACTCACCCTCAAATTTCTATTAAACACAAAAGAGTATGTTTTGCAAAATTAGCAAATTTGCGTTTCTGTGTAAAGTTTGCATGTTTTCACTGCGTTCGCGTGGGTTTCCCTTCGGTTGTGAGTCACCTACCCTCAGCTGAATTGGGTAGGCTAAATTGTCCGTTGTGTGTGTGTGTGTGTGTGTGTGTGTGTGTGTGTGTGGATGTGTGTGTGTGTGTGTCTGGATAAGTTGGCAGTTCATTCCGTTGTGGTAACCCCAGATTAATAAAGGGACTAAGCTGACGAGAAAATGAATGAATGAATGAACAATAGCAATGGACATCCATAAAAAAAATAGTGCTTTTTTTTCCCAATATTCCTCAGAACAACTGAAACAGCTTTGGAACAAGTAGAGGGTAAATAAATGATGACAGAATTTAGCTTTTTTAGGATGAACTATCCCTTTAAAGCGTATAGAAACCCTTGTTATTAGCAACACTGGATACCGTTAAGTTAACTGCAGCCTGCAACTTGATGCACTTATTCCTCAATGTATTGTCAGTAGGCCTGTCATAATAATCAATATATCAACTTATCGCACAACACATGGAGGACATTACCTCAATCATTTTTGGTGATGCAATATATACACAACCTGATACATAAAGTTAACTCA